ATCACTATCATTACCTGGGCTACCATCTGCACTTGCCTCTTTTTGACTTTTTGACCACACTGCTTCATCACACTTGACATACTTTGACTTTTTCTGCGACTCGGCGACCCGCCATCGGGGGCAAGTCGTCACTCTACACCTGTTTCCTATCACCCTGTCTCCCTGCTTCACACCTGACTCATACTCACAGTCGACTAGTCACAGCTTGCTACTGCCCAGCGCGCTGCCATCGGTGCGGGTGGCAAACCTCTCTCCCCCCCCCCCCTCTGCATAGAGGTGACATAACTCGCATCCCCTATTTTGGCGCTACACTCTACGTAACACCATGGCACGCGCGCTCCCTTCACAGAGAACAGTGCAATGGCGCGCTACCTTCTGCTGCTTCTTCTCCGTGATGTGCTAGTTGCACCTTCTCTCTCTCTGTCCCCCCTTCTGCATACTAGGTGACATAATTTGCATCTTTTTTTGGCGCTATACTCTGCGTATATATGTTGGACTCAGTAGAGCGTCCAGCCCCTATACGATGTCCAACCCCTATATAGAGTTCATTGGTCCAAAATCCACTGTACAGAGTCCAAACTTGGAATCAACTGTGAGCTCAAAGTTTAGATGGACATCACTCCCTGTATAGAGTCCAGCCAATTGGCTTCACCCATTGGTCCATTGGTCCAAAATCAACTGTATGGAGTCCAAACTTTGAAATCAACTATAAGGAGTCTTTATGTGGACAACACTCCCTGTATAAAGTCCAGCCAATTAGGCATCCCCTATCCAGAGTTCGAAATTAGACACAGAATCTGCTGTAAGCAGTGAATATTAACCAGAAAACGGCCTCTCCCTTTAATCCTTTACATCATTCACTTCTCAAGATAAAAGTAAGTATTGAGGCGCCACTGCAGCCACTTCATCACATGAAAAACCCTACAAACACAATCCTGAAATCAAGTGGTCTCTTCGCAGACGCTGCAAATTACAATATCTCAATCATGTAGTGTTGCCAAATTATTGCGCACGCACACACACTACTTGTTGCTCACTGCCAAAACTGGTCACGTGAGTCCCCCCGGGAGAGGGGAGAGAGACTCAAAAGGAATCTTAGAAAAGATGACTCAATTGGTTATTGAACCGCCCAATGGCCGACACCCCCTGAAATCCCCAAAACTCTGGGTGGACTTGAAAATGATCCCACTTATGGGCTCACCACACCTCAGTAAGTGGGTGAGGACAAGGTGCAGAAAAAGGATTGACGGCATCAGGTATCCGTCCCGGGATCCAACTGCAGTTACCCCTGCCCCCAGTGAAGGTAATATTTGCTACTAGTGTGAGTGGCTAAATCAGAGTGGATCTGATAAAAGCTTCACTAGCACCATTGATTACACAAGAGTTAATCTAGCCAGAAGCAGTCCATGGTTAACAGGTATGTATACTTCCAATAGAAAGTATATGAACCCTGGAACAAACAAAGGTGGCAGGTACAACATTACACCTTCAAACAGCCGAGCCTGTTGGCAACAGACCCAACACAATCAGGCATAAGTGTACCTACCAGCCGAACTAGCTGGCACACACATGCACACACCCACACAACGCCAAGAAAATACCTAGAAAAAAACCAAGAATCGAAAGAGAATAATGGAGAGCCAAGGATTAATTATTTGTTTTCAAATTATTCGCACACACACACACACACACACACACACACACACACACACACACACACACACACACACACACACACACACACACACACGCACACACACACACACACAAACTTATACAACGCCAAGAAAAGAGTAGAGACACAATACACACGCAACTCCAACAGCCATGCAAACGTCCACCCATTTACACGTAAAGTCAAGAGGGATAACAAATAATTACACGAAACGAATGCATACTTGGGCGGATGCACGCACGTTTACATACATGTAGTAGTGTACGAGAGTAACATAGTGCAGTAGTCAGCATAATACTAGCACATGCTGAGAGGGCAATAGCAAGCTTCACCATTGCTCATGGCCATGCAAATGTTCAGCAGCACTCAGCTCCGCAAGCTTCTGAAGATCAGCACACCTGCAACAAATAGACAGGACAAGGATACTCTTATTACCATAATGATGCATGGGAGCACACAACTACCAAGTTCTCAACGAATGTGATGCTCAATGAAAATCCATCCACTCAATGACCTGTGAACAGGTGACGGTGGGGACAATAATATATTAGTAATACGAGGAATAAGATCGTTTGTGCACACTCAAAACGCACAGACACACCATCATACATATAGTGTACACAGTGTTTCACTTCACTGCAACTAAATTGAAATGAGATGATTTTTTAAAACAATCTGTACAGCGTTGTCGTCAGTCAGTCTTCCCCAAGATGGAAATGCAATGATATGTTGTCACGAGGCAGTTTCACTGACACAATGTCATGTTTGTGACATCAAAACGGTTACTTCATGGAATACGAGTACTTTGAAGTACATGTATTGGCTTGAGAAGCTTTTTCTTGTCATCGGCATACAAGAAATCCTCCTCCTACTACTACTACTAGTACACTGGCACTGCGGTTGTGGATCCAATTGCATTTGACATCATACTAGAGCCTAGTAGTAGAGGAAGAGTGTCGTGGAGTTCACATAATTATCACAGGGATAAAAATACATTTCTCATGAAATAAAATTATTGATGATAGCTAGACGATCGTATACGATTGATGCAAAGGCAGTTCTTGCAGTCCTTGAGGACTATTACGAAGTGGTTGATTACTTTTAGGGCATTCATTTAAGCAACAACAAACAAACGCGATACGATCCTTGAAAATGGAAAAATTCAAGCATAACAACAGAATAGCAGACCAATCGAAACGGGTAAAAGCTTCCTTACCTCAGTCATCGTCCTGCCATGTAGTTGGACAGCCTTTTGACACGGTGGTACAGGCAGCTCTTGTCCAGTCAAACACGGTATCCTTGTGGCGTCCAACTTAAGAGAGTGTCAGTGTATCTGACTCGTCAGATTGGAACTGTGCTGAACGTTTCTCGTTCTCCACTTTCTGCTTTCATCCCTCGCTCTGATGAAACCGTTCAAACGCCTTACTGGCAACAATGGCCAGCCAAACAGGGGATCCTTGTGGCGTCGAACGAAAGAGAGTGTCAGTGTACCTGACTCGTCAGATTTGAACTGTGCTGAACTTTTCTCGTTCTGCAATTTCTGTTTTCACCCCGCACACTGATGAAACGTCTTCAGAGAACCACAAGACGCTTGCTTTCCGATTTGATTTTGAACGTTTCCTTATCCTCCTTGGTTACCTCGAGACAGATTACTGTCAGCAACTGCACAGCAGAACTGGCAGCCATGGCTGAAGTGAAGAAAGGAATGCGCTGCCACGAGGCAAGCAAAACTGAAAAGGTGTTTCTTCTCTTTCGGGCACAACACACAGGACGGCGTGACTGGATGAACTGGACTCCTGGACCGTGAATAGGGGACTTGTAGAAAAAGTGTACTCCTTATAGGGGATTGCGCGGCAGGATGAAGCTGATCAAAACTAAGTGGACTCCTGGACTCTGTATAGTGGATTTTGGACCAATGGACTCTATATAAGGTGCTGGACATCATAAAGTGCATGGACTCTATACTGAGTCCTACATATATACTGCTCTTGTGTGGCTTCCACGGTATTCATTGTTATTACCTGACGATGGCCAAGTGCCGAAACGTTGTATTATAATGGAATGGTTCAGATTTGCAGAGAATTGTGGAATGTGTAAGTTCACCCAATTGTGTAAATACTATGAAACTGCAGGCAGCCTCAAAACTTCTTCTCAAAAATAAATACGTCAGTTGGAGAAATGAAAAAATACATAACATCTCTACGTTTTTTCGCCTAGGTCAAGGTGGTAGACGGTGTCGTATTACCCTCGAATGCAAAGAGAAAGTTTATATAACCCAATAAATTCTGCAATTACTTTTTCGGAACTCATATTCAAACCGATTGAAATGTTTTTGCATTACAATGATGTAACCAATCAATGGAAAAAAAACATTTCCAACAGTTCTAATAACATGCATGATGAACTAGGCATAAAAGCATACCGTAGGGCCCTGAGCTTCCAAGCTCTCTATTATTAATTCTTTTTTTAAACGGGTCCAAGGAACCCGCCTTCCCCCCCCCCCCCCCCAGGGTCGCTGACCTGCTTGAACCGGCACTGGAGCTGACACTGCTCAAAGTCCATAACCAACTTAATTGAAGACCAAACCTTCTCAGATGCTAAGTACAGTAAATCCTGGTACTAAAGATCACCGTGACTAGCGACCAGCCTGGTACTAAAGACCACCGTGACTAGCGACCAGCCTGGTACTAAAGACCACCGTGACTAGCGACCAGCCTGGTACTAAAGATCACCGTGACTAGCGACCAGCCTGGTACTAAAGATCAACGCGACTAGCGACCAGTCTGGTACTAAAGACCACCGTGACTAGCGACCAGCCTGGTACTAAAGACCACTTCGCCAGGCAGGGAAGGTCTCACATTCATACATGGTTGGGTGGTGCAAACCTGTAGCTTAGGACCACCTGCCACTAAAGACCACTTTCTCTGGCCCCAAGGGGTGGTCGTTAGCCACAGGTTTCACTGTAGAAGGCATCAATTCCCAATTAATTTTTCATCGATAAGGATGTGGAACTCTCTATGCCAGTGCCTGTGTTGTCTTTACTAACTAAATGTATGTATGTGTTTGTGTTTCTCTGTGTGTGTGTGAGTGTGTGTGTGTGTGTGTGTGAGTGTGTGTGTGTGTGTATGTGTGTGTGTGTGTGTGTGTGTGTGCGCGCATGCGCGCGCTTGTGTGCATGTGTGCTCACGCACGTGCGCGCATATGCGTGTATGTGTGCATGTGTATGTATGTATGTGTATGTGTTTGTGTGTGTTTGTGTGTACATGGTTTGTATTCATTAATGATGTTACTTCCAGGATGATTGGACACCACTCCACTATGCAGCACAGGAAGGTCATGTGTCCGTACTAGAACATCTACTTAATGCTGGACACCCATTGGAAGCGAAAACTTCGGTAAGTCAGGATATCCCTGGTGCATGCTTGTTTGGGTAGGAGCAGAAAAGAAGGATTACCGTGCTTTCGCGATTAGACCCCTCTCTTGAATAGTGCTCTATGTTGAAGAGTGCCCCAGTCTCTAAGAGCACATGAAAAAATATGCAGCCCTCTATTGAAATGTGCCCTCCCCCCCCCCCCCCCTGCTTGTTACGAAGCACATGTGCACGTTTGGTGTTCCAGGCCATGTGATGAGAAATCATGGTCGTTCTGACGTAATGTCCTGACACTTCACGGACATACCATTTTTGCCGCAGAAGTCTTTGAAAGCCAACATTTTTTTTATTCTCGACCCAACGATTAAAGACTCCGGGAAGCTTTTGAACGAACACATTTTCTCTGGAAACCGCACAGAAACCTTGTTGCTCTCAACAGTCCACTTGTCAAAACTGGTGGCACGCACAGCGCGGAACTTCATGCCATGAGGTGGGCCATCGTGGCCACCTTTTCTCTTCCCGATCTTTAAGGACTAGAACTGATCTCGTCGAATGCGAAATCGGCATTCTTGCACATACTTCTTTTCCAACGATAAGTTGAATAACTCCACTAATAACTTGTAGGTCGATTTTCACAATTTTGAGCTTTCTGGAAGGCTCCATCCATAAGAAATACACTTCCTGTAGACATGACGAGCATCAACGTAAAAGTACAGTGAGCGAAGCAAGCGTACACGCCAGGGTCATGTTAAGGAGGTTTGGGACAGTTTAGGCAAAATTTCATAATCATGATATTTTGATGTGAACAGATTGCTTGGAGTCTAAGGTACCTTAGGTTTCAAATTCTGAAATAAAAAAGGGTGGTCCCCATATCCGTTTTGTCAACTTCAGTCACTTTTCCACCCTTAGTTTTTACGGACATTGCTGGGTGGTTGCACATTTTCTACTATAAGTATTATCTTTATAATCTCTTGCAGCATTGCATTGAAACTTTCGGAAATACAAACCGACTCGGTTTGAATTGTGAAGAAAGTAGGAAAATGTCATTGGGACTAAGCACACCACCGAAAATTGCAAAATGCAAAGCTGCGCTTTTCTTGAAAATGGAGAAAAGAAAGTAATTTCTCACATGATTTCCAACGTAATATTTCTATGAACATGGGTTTATGGGATCCTTTCATGGAAAGGAACAGGTTTGCCAAATAAAACACAGGGTGTCCCCATATTCGTTGAGACAATAAACACTACTGATAAATGTACGAAAAATGTCATATTTTGATAGTGTATGTTCAGGCATGCAAAGTGGCTCAATTTAATTTGTTAAAAAGGTAAAAACAACCCAGATAGTTCTGTCTTTTTTGGTAATGCCTCCTAGGCGATTTAAAAGCAAGTATCAACGTAGTTGAGAAGAAGTACCGACGACCCGGCCATTATGGAATCCAATGCACCACACCACCACATTGCGCTCTTGGCTGATCCAAACTCTGCACTCACATCACCATCACCACAGCGAGGACAATTCCGGTATATAGATTGAAACTGACAAAGACACTCCAGACAGCTGTTTCGCTCCTCCTGAGCACATCAGTGGAGGCATACGATGTTCAATGAATAAATAATAAGAATAGACTGATCTTTATAGGGCTAAATTGTCTGGAGGGTCATTGTCAATATCAATCTATAATATACCGGAATTGTCCTCGCTGTGGTGATGGTGTTGTGAGTACAGAGTTTGGATCGGCCAAAAGCGCAATGTGGTGGTGTGGTGAATTGGATTCTATAAGCAGGCGCGTAACGCCGTATCGCAAAAATCGCAAACAAAGCAGCTAGAGTTTGCCGCACTATGTTCGCAAAACGCCCAAATAAAAGCAGGGTAAAAAGTATCACAAAGTGCCCGCGTTAAACGTAACCTCGTTCATCAGTGTTTCGATGAGTGCACTGTACTTGTACAATCATGTACTGAATAGGTTCATCACATATGTTTTCTTCACGCTACACTGTATATCAGTCTTGAACAGGATTGTACATGCAGCCATTTTCGGCACCTTTGAAACCGTACAACAGCTGAGTGACCTGAGCGCCCGGGGGGGGGGGGGGGAGTGGGGGGGGGAGGGGGGGGGGGGAGGGGGGGGGGGTTAGCTGAGTGTGAAGCAAGGAGCAGCAAGTACCGGTGTTTTAATGCTCCATGGTGTGAAGTGACTACACTGTCCTGTTTTTGTTCCAACTTGCTGCTCCCTGCTATTTGAGGAAAAGAAGCCATGCTTGTTTGCAAGTCCAACTATCGCAGCCTCCAGAAAAGCCTTTTTAAGAAGCAGCCGATAGTACATGTACATGTAGTTCAAGATGAAAGGGAATGATGTACATGTACAACGTATACCATGGTATACAATGTAGTCTGCTGCATCAGACTCATTTCTGAGTGCAGTTTACCGCGAAACTTCAAAATAAAAGGAGCTGGCTGAGCAAAAATCCTTGGCTGCAAAAATTAAAATAGGATGAATTTTTTACCCTATGTCACGTCACATGACCTTCCAAAGCAGACTAAAAAGGGCTACGATACACCCCTGCATAAGTATCAACGTAATTGAAAAAAAAAGAAAATTGCCCCTATTGGGATTAGAACCCACAAACCTTGATTTGGGAAAGAAAAAAGAAAAAAAGGTCGCCAAAAGTGGTGTTCGAACCCACAAACCTTGATTTGGAAAAGAAAAAAAGAAAAAAAGGTTGCCGAAAGTGGGGTTCGAACTCACAACCCACGGCTGTTAGCTGCACTTGGATCGCGGCAACTTAGTTTTCTGCACGGGAACCATGAAAAATCAATGCATGCTCATGCATAACCAGTCAGCTGGCCTGCTCGCCCACGCATTTGACAAGTAACAATTCCATCAAATTTGAGATATCGCTTTCGTTCTAAGTCTCAAAATAGTTCTAAAGTCACCAAACCACGCTGGTAATCGATGGCTATTCAATGTTAACATCTTCAGGAATACTTCAGCCGTTTCCCGAGAGTTTGGGCATCGTTGCCGTTATTTTTCACGGTGTTCTTCTTCCTCCTGTCTGGAGCTGCAATTGCATCCTGGACTTATTTGAAAGGTATTTCGTGCGGGCTGTGGGGGGGTTCCAACAGGCATAAACTGACATTGCTATAGGATAACTGGTAACTTTCACCCTTCAAGGAGGTAGAGCAATGAGAATTTTTTTGTGGCGGTCGTCCAATTTTTGTGGCGGTCGTGGCTGTATTTGTGCACTTCCAAGGCTTTCATTCTGCCTGATAAGACTCTCTACTGTATGGGAATCGTTGTTTAGGCACATGTAGCTGTGTTATTTGGTAGATCTGCTGTTGTCAATCACTTGGGACACTTTGTGTAACCTATTTGTCTTTCGTTCGTGCCATCTATCAGTTTTGTAGGGTGCCTTGACCTGTATTTGTGAACTTCTCGAGTAAAGACCCTAATTCTTGACTGGAGTCACGTCTTGAATAGAATTTGCTGGGCGAACTCTTGTTCACGCAGTTGTCCTTATCGTAATAGTCAATATCTGCTTGCTGGACGGACTAGCGGCTAGAACAGGGATGACCAAATGGTCCAAGTGTGCACTAGTACACGATTATTGTTTCCATCATCGTGAAACTGCAGTCGTCTGCCTTTGGCACTGAGGACATGAGGAGAGTTGATTGTTACTTCTGCTCAGCAATGAAGCGATCATCAGCTCTCTTTGTTCTAATTATTGAGAGGACATACCGGCATCGCAATCAAGTAAAGATTAGCCAAACCTCGCCAATCTCCAAAGAGAGTCGAAGATATTTTCTCCAAATGCAAAGACGATCTTTGTGAGTTTGTGACTTGCATTTGCGTGCATACATGGGCAAGTCACGGACCACGGCGAGTGCACGGTTACCATGCCATCTCCAACCGACGCCATCTTTCTAAGTTGCCGCTTCTTGACAGCCGTGAACCTTCGGTCCTGTTTTTTGTTTTTGTTTTTTTGTTTGTTTGTTTTTTACATCGGAAGCTTAATAGTGCAGCTGCACAAGTATGAAGAGGCCAATGGGACCAAAAAAACAAAAAACCTCTTGGCCAAAATGAGGATAACTGTCGCGAACCTCCTCAATTGCGATGGAAATACTCATCGCAATACAATTCCCTCAAAGTTTATCGTAGAGCGCTGGGATTTTTGCAAAGACTTCTGGATGCCCGTAGCCTGATTTGGTCGTAGCACCTGGCTGGCTAGGGACGCGCAAAAATGGGCAAATCCCCATTTTACAAGCACATGATAAAGCTTGAGATATAGCCCCACTGTCGACGTCTGCACCCTGTGGTGTTTCGTCACGTACTGAGTATGATGCTGGTTACTGGTTCTGACATTGGGCGAGATGTGCTGTCCCAATTCCTTGCGAGATCACTTTGGGTGGTGGAGCACTGCATTTTAAGCTTCTAAAGCTGACGGCGTTCCACCGAGCCATGATGGTGATGGCAAACGAGAGCATGTTCTTCGCTTGCGGAGTCGTGAAGTGATACCTCCATTTTCAGTAGTGACGGTTAACGCTGTGTTAGACAAGTCGGAAGGGTTGCCTACCTGTGCTTTGAAGATACTCGATGGGTGATTTCAAGGGATGAACGATGTAATGATGGCGGATGCGCTAGTAAGCCCTACGGTGGTTTGTGTTCCCATATGGGTGTTGAATTACTCTGATGAGGCAGTGACTCTAGACTGGGCGATGCAGATTGGTCGGTTTGAACCAATATCTGAGGTCCTGAACATCGGGACCGAAGACACTGTGGCCGGTGGCCAGCGAGAAACCTCGGTTCAAATAGGTAAGACAGAGGATCCCCTCAAGGTCTTGAAGCAGTTGCGTATTGGCGCCAATGGTCCGGTAGCAGGCCCGCGTTGCAGGTTGGACGAGCTGGACTCGATCTTGGAGCCTGGTGGGTTAGACGAGCTGGACTCGATCCTGGAGCCCTGTGGGTTGGATGAGTTGGACTCGATCCTGGAGCCCTGTAGGTTGGACGAGCTGGACTCGATCCT